TTCTTCGAACAATGAGAGTTCTGCGATCAAATCGGTGATGGCATGCATAAACGCTTCATGTGGAGTATAATCAGAAGTTGTCTGTATTCTAATAACAAATTTGTGTTCCAGGGGATGAGGAACTTTGTAGCCAGCAAATAATACTTGAGGATCCTTCAGTAACTGACTAAAGAATCGAAAGAAATTCACAAAATTAGCTAGCTATCTAAAAAAGAACCGAAGTAACATGCTCGTACATTTACTCACTTGCGGATCATGTTTCCCAACGTGTGATCCTCCTTGTTAATCGTAAAAATCGCAGCATTTGGTACTTTGGTATCCTGTTCTTTTATAATTCTACAAAAAACGCAAACATTAACGTGTTTCTAAAACCTAAATCGTGATTAGATCTCGATAAATATCAAAGATCAGCATACTTTTTCTCTCCCTCATATAATAAGAATGACTCAAAAGTCGGAGGTGCGTTCATTTCGCTTCGTCAATTATTAACAACAATTCAAAACTAATTGTTATTGAAATATCGATAGTGTGAATCACCGGTTGACAAACTGTCGTAATCGTAATCACTGTTGACCATCTTCTGTTGCATGTTGCATCTACAGCGAGTCACTGTGAGTCGACAATCGATTGCGACAAATCGATACGACGATTCGATAGCAGACAAATTTACCATGACGTCATTCGAACGAGTTCAAATATTTGTCAATGGCTTCATCTCTTATCGATGTTCTGATATTCTAATACCTATAATCGAAAAAGGTAAAAGGAATCGTGATTGAAGAACGGCAGGAGTGATAGTAGACGTAATATCTACAGTTATTCCTTACAGGTTTATTTATTCAATAATAACAACGTGTGTTCCTATCAAGAAAAACTTGTTTCAATTTTCTAGAAAGAGTGACATATATCCTAATGTACCTAATATACTTATTATTGAGATAAAGAGATGGAAAAGAGGGAGAGAAAGAGAGGAAAGAGAATGAATGAATGAATAATAAAGAATAAAAGAGCGAGAGGAGAGGGAGGGGAGAGAGAGAGAGAGAGAAAAAGGAAACTTCATTTTATGTCATTTCAAAGAAACCACGCGTTTTCTCTCTCTTTCTTAAGTTTGAACGTGTACAGACATTTTCCGTGTTATTGTCTCTCTCTTTCGAGCATTGGATTCGCAAATTGGACTCGACTCGGCCGTCATCAGTCGTCATCGTCCGGATGCCGCGAGATTAATCGCTGCTTACATCTTCGCACGACAGGGGCGTTGCGAGCGCTCGTTTTTATCCGCCTTTTACATTTCCCACGCCGCGCCCACCCAAACTGAAACCCAAGGCGAAGGGCGAAGGCGCGGGCCGCGGGGCGCGGATAAGGGATAACTGTGGCTGGTGGAAGGTGGAAGAGCGAAGGCGAAGACTGAAGAGCGCGGCGGCGTCAGTGACGCGGCGTCGTTGCGCGTCGCTCTCTCGGCGAGAGTTTATCGCGCGGGTAGCGTACAAGGAGCGTTTTGCCGAGCCACACTACTCCCGACAGTCCCGACTCCGGGACGCAAAGTAGTTGTCAAAATGGCGGCGTGCGAGGGCTCCGCGAGCGTGAATCCTAATTGCGAGGTAGTGCGCGGGCAAACGTTCGAGGTCGGGCCGCGCTACACGAATCTGTCATACATGGGCGAAGGCGCCTACGGCATGGTCGTGTAAGTGTTCATCGGTCGTGTCACGACCGCTCGCTCGATCGGCAGCTTGCGGCGGCCGGCCGATCTTCTGATCTGACAGGTCGACTGACAATAAACATTTGAGAGCAGCGACGCGAACGGAGACGTGACAGCGACGAGTCGATCAGCGGTGATCCGCGGCCCCGATCGCCGTGTCCTCGAATCGTATGTCCGAAGACAAAAGCCCCCTTCCGGACAAAAGCCGCCGATCGGTGTACGCTGTCGGCTGTATGCGTCGGCTCCGCTCCGCTCCGCTCGCGCTCGACGCTCGTATCTCGTATAATAGTATATACGTATGACGTACGCACACACGCACGCATCATGGTTCTCTTACACGTTCTACCGTCTACATCACTTTCAAATGCACGTCACGCCCCTTTCACCGTATTTTTCCCATTCATGTCTTTTCTACATTTCCTTATTATTCCCTTTTTTTTTCTTTCTCTTTTTTTGTACGTCTTCTCTCATTTTATCTTCTTGCATTCATGCTAATCAGATGAAAATTCACTTTGAGATTTACTAATCTTATCTTATCATTTTTATCATCTATTGCTATTTAACATGATTACGATTTAGCATGAATTATATCACGGCGAATTCATGCTAAAAAGTGACGGAATATTTTTGCGCGCCAAAAGATATTTCGGAGAGAATTCCGTTTCGCGAGTTAAATAATCCCGACGCTCTTGGATTCTGACGGTAGATTCTTTGAAAAATTCGGAATTGATTTTTCTATAATTACGATGTTGCGTTGATAATATTGATGTCGAATAAAAATATCGGAGCTCCGACTTATGCGCGATTAAAAAGAGATTTCCTCTAATCGCGTTGCCTTTGATGTATCCTGATCCTTCTAGCTTTTCTTACCTTAATCTCTCGCTTTAATCTTCTAGATATTGTTTTAATGAAACGAACATAAATTGCAGGGCACCATTTTAATAATCTATTTATAATTGTAATATTATTTATCGGTAATAAAATCTTTTTAAAAAGATAACGCTACTTCACTATTGGATATCAAAAGAATAATTACAATCCAATCTCTTAAGCTATATATAAATAACATTCTGTTGTTTTCAACTTTTATGTGTGTCAAAATGTAAATCTATTTCTATGATTAATTTAAATGTAAACAATGTTCATATTAACATATATACTTAGTAAATAATAAATTAAACTATCAAATTTTAATCCTTTGAGTTATTTAATACATTGTACAAATATTTGAATTAAACAATTTAACTCCTTTGTTTCAGTTAAATTAATGACATATTGAATGATGACTTATAGAAATTATTAAAAATAATTCAAATTAGGTATAACTTAAGTTATTTAACAATATTTATAACAAAGAAAATTATTTATTGCATTTTTCACTTTAATTACTTTTTGACATCTCCATATTCTGTTATCTATCGATCGCAATGGATAAGATTAAATAAAGATTAGAGTTTTAATAGATTTGTTCAAATGTATATCGAGCCTATCTCTCAGATATACCTAATTTGAGTTATTTTTAATAATTTCTTTAGATACCATTGCTCATATCCGATATATCGTTAGTTTGACTAAAATAATGAAGTTAAACAATTTAACTCAAGAAAATAAATTTGATTTAAATTTAATTTATTATTTATTAAATACAATATGAACGTCAATATAGGCGTTTATTTTGAAAAATAAAATACAGAAATGAATTGATTTATATTTTGATACATGTAAAGTTAAAAAGTAAATAAAAGGTTATTTTCTAAATGCGTACGTAAATATGGATGATTTACTTTGAAACTTACCGCGGAAATGGATTGATTTATATTTTTACACACATGAAATTAAAAATAATAAAATATTATTTAATTCAAGAGATTGAATTACCTTTGATATCTAATTGATGTAGTCGATCGGAACTCTTAGGATGCATTCCAAGTTTCGCATAAAGTGTATGATGTATTATTTGTCTTTGTTGTTCATCAAATAATAAAAAAGGATAAAACAATAAATCATGCGTTTCATGCGTAACTCGGAACGCACCTTTAGTCGCGGCTTCTGATGTAATACATCAGACACATTGCGAATTTGATTTTTATTATCGCTAAGAATCCTGTATCGCGCGCGACCACATCCTATCATCGCGATACCATCAAAGACACAAGTTTCTCTATGGATAAACTCACACTAAGTTAGGTCAAGCTTTCCAGACGATAGCAGAAAAGATAAACAAATGCGCCGGATGAATAAAGCGACTGCTCCAGTCTCCAGTCTCTAGTCACCGAAAGGGAAAAATTTCGTTCTGAAAAATATGAATAAAGATATTAGATTATTTGTGTGCTTGCGCTCTGACGAACACACAGTAACGATATATATATATATATATATATATATTGTATATATTTT